TCTTTAAACCTAGGACATTATAATTAGCGAGACCTCCTAAAGCTAACCTGCATAAAATCCTTCTTTGATATTCAAAAGCTTTTGTGATTTTCATTTAAAATTTTATCTTGAAATATTCCTTGATTTGGTTTTAATCTAAAACCTTCTTTCGCCTAAAACTTCCTTTATTTAAATTTAGTTTGAAAAACCCTTTTTACTATTATGAATTATGGTCCAAGAAACCATCCTATACTGTGCTAGAACCTAAACCAAAGCAATTCCAATTTTATTGGAATTAATTGTTAACCCATCCTTTGATCTTAAACCTATCATTTGATTCTCGATCCAAATATTCGAGTTTCTCCTTTTAATCTAGCCACCATTTTAATCCCTGTGGCTTGATTCCCTCTTCGGCACAAGAAATATTATTATTACAAATATTGTGAGTAATTGCTCTTGTGCTAAGAGAATAGACTTTATCCCTCCGCCCCAAATTCAAAACCTCATTTAGCCCATATCTAATTCTTTAAATTTCATACCACATATTTTGGGCTAGAATTCTATTTACTCTATTCCCTCCATATTCCCTCCACTCAAAAATATTCAAATCTAGAGCCATATTATTTATGGTTTTGAATATTTTGAATTTCTATTTGAGTATATTAAATAAACTCCTCAAACCAACTGGAGAAATATTTCTTTTGGAAATTATATTCAAATATAATTTCCTTCTAAACTCTCTCTCAGTCATTTTTCCTTCAAATTCAAATTATTCAAATCCTTTTTCAAAATCTAGCCATCCAAATTCCTCTAAATCTATTATTTGAATCTCTAGGAAAATTAGACTTCCTCCTTTTCAACTTTGGGCAGAATTCTTCTTCTCTCTCGCGCGGCCCAAGTCGGCCCATAGCAAGCGCGCGTGCCGTGCACGCGCACGCCGCCGCCAACGCCTTCCGTCGCCGCTAAGGAACCGGCCGCCGCCATTTGGTGCGCCGTCGCCGTTGTCCTGCCTTCGCCGCCAAGTTGCGCCGCCACCATCGCCGTGCCGTGCCCTCCTTCTCCGCCGTCCAACTCTGCCACGGCCGCCACGTACGCGCGCCGCAAATGTCGACCAATCGGAAGACAAAGCCGGCACCGTCATCCTCCTCTCCACGCCACTGCCGCCGTGCTCCCCTTCTCCTTTTCCTCCGAAACCGTCATTAGCCACCGCCTTTAGTCGTCTATAAATAGACGGCAAGACTCGCCATTCCTCTTCAGAACTCAAGCTCTGAGATCTTTTTCTCTCTCTCCTCCCATGGCCGATCGTCGACATCGTCGGTCGATCTCCCCATCCGTAGCTCCTCCTTTCCTCTCCTCGCACCACCGGCTTCGCCTCCATCTGGCGAGTCCGTTTTTTCCCTTTCCCCTCTTCCCTACCCACTTCATCAAGCCACCACAGCCACTTCTCTTGCCGCCGGAGATAAGCTCTTCTACTCGCTGTTCCGGCCATCTCCCTCGCTCCCTCTGCTTGCCACCGACCTCCCCGGATGCGCAGTGAGCGGGAACATGCGTGGCCGATGACGTCGCCGCCCTCCAGCCACCGGAGCGCCGCCGCCCCGCTCGCCTTCTCCTCTCTCTTCTCTCGGCTCTCTCTGGAACCGAGAAAAGGAAGACGAGAAGAAGGAAGAAGAAGGAGAAAAGAAAAAGAAAAAGAGAAAGAAAGGCTGACAGGTGGGCCCATGAACAGTACATTTTCGTCTTTTCTAGATTTAATTCAAATTCCAATCTTTAGAAGCCCATATCTCCTAAACCGTAGATCTGATTCTAGTGAAACTTGGACCTAAATTTATCTAAATTCAAACCCTACTTTTGATACCAAATTTGCTATTTAAAGATTTTATTTGAATTTCTTTAATTTATTCAAATATCATTTGAATAAATATTTGATTTAAACTTATAATTGAAACTTATATTCACCTTTCAATTATTTCCTTTTATTTTCAAAATACCCTTTAGCCACTAAACAACCACCGTTTGGAACTTTACACCTTCCATGGGGACGTTCGCACGGTCTACTGACCCCGACGTCAAAACGTTGGTTGTAAAGTCTGACAAAACCCAAACCTAACGTCAAAGTGTTGCTTCTGACACCTTACGCCTCAATGCGTATAACGATCAGAGCTTCACTATTCCCTCGACCTCCACTGTACGCCACACAGTTTGCTCTCAAGCTCTGTGTGATCCTAGCCGCTCCGCCGCCACTCACGGTTGTTGGAGTAACACTTCCACCCCTCTAAACCTACACAAACTTCCTATCCCTCTAGCCATAACATTGTCTGCTGACATTGGCTAGACACCAAACCTAGTCGTCATACTACCCAATTCTATGACGACTAGTAAATACCCAAAACCCTTGCCGATGTTTATCCTACCTCGATATCGGCTTAATCAAATGAAACCCTAGCCAGCCTGCTATCCAAACTCCATACCAACTATTTACCCTCCAAACTACCCATAGCTTAAACATGAAATACGAGCCGATATGCTATTTCAGCATCGACTCGAGAACAACTAAACCCTAGCCACTATTCCACCAAAGCCTAATCTTGATTCCCTCTATAACCTAGCCTCCAACCCCTTAGAGCCTACGTATAAAATACTAGCTCAATAACCCATTAAGGAGATATTTATACCCCCAAACCTAGCCTTTCTCGCTCTTCATCGTTTTCTTGTTATTTTATGGCTTTTATTGAATTTGGTTCTCTCTCTTCTTTAATAGAGTCTATTTTATTCTGGATGGCAACCTGTGGTATTTCGAGCATCGGATAATCAGGTTGCCTATCTTGGATTTATTTGTGTTGGAGCAAGGCAAGTTATCATTACTCTCCTTTGAGCATAATTATCCTATACTCTATAGTTTTATTCTATGCATTAGCCATTCATGATTTTGAATGCATAACTTGAACATATAGCAAACTAGATATATGCTAGATTTTGCTTAGCCATGCCTAGTTAGATTGCATAAAAATATAACAAACTTAGATTGGGACAATACTTAAGATTTGGTTGATTTCCGGGTGGCTAGTACTGTCTCGATCGATATAATTGCCACCAAATACTTATGTCAAATGAGTACGACTGCAGCTTCTAGAATGGGGATAGACCTAGTTATTAGGTTAATTAACAATGTGGTACCTCTGTACAGTGGTTCTTATATGTAAGTCCTCGCGAAGGAGGCAAACTTATGCCGCGAAGGGCAAATGTGATATTTACCGAGGCGCAGGTAAATATCTTGATTATATTGCGATCGCTGTGTGTGTATATTGTGAAAACCTAATTGAGATGACGTGGGGTCTCTCAACCAGTTCTCTCTAAAAACCTCGGGAACGCCAGAACTCCTCTCGCTGCTGATAACGTTACGTTCAGAGCGCATGGGGACTAGAGTTCATCGAACAGGTGCCACTATTGTTAATAACCTAAGGCTGGGCTACGACTAAGCTAATGAATATTGGCAAGTCGTGGATTGCGGGTAAAGCGTACATTTACTGCAGTAAAGTATAAATGAATCTATTCGAATAGCCGTGCTCACGGATTGAGTATCGGGACTCATATGGTATTTGGTTAGAAACCTAATTCAAGACTTTACTAAATACTGTTGCATAAAGACATCCCAGGCTTTCTTCCTCTATATTCTCAGCTTTCTGCAATTGAATCTAGCTCTACTCAAATATTACCATTTCATACATTCATTGTTGATTAATATAATAGCTTGCTGAGTACGTTGTACTCACCCTTGCTTCAACCTCCTTTTTCAGAGTCCATTAGATGTTCTTGCCGAAGTCAGGAGTTCAATCACATAAGTTAATTCCCTTTTTACTTAATCTTCAAGTCTAGGTTATTTACATGGTTTAAGTCTATAGTAAAACAACAGAGTTAGGTCATTCTAAAACTTCTGCTGTAATAGTTAGCCACAATCTCGTAAATACCCTATTACTTTATGTAATAATATCTTCTTCAAAGCTATGTCTAAACGTATGCAAAGACGATCCAGATTGTTGAAGCTGTATCAACTTACTGATCCAGGGCTTGATACAGTTAAATATGTCGGTTTCCGAATTATTAGTTTTGGGACCCAACAATGGCGCGATGCGCATGGTCAGTGTGCGTGACAAATAATGTCTCATCGTTGCGTTCGGGCATATGATATGAGATGTATTTGTCTTATCGTTGCGTTCGGGCATATGATACGAGATGTATTTGTACTATATCCATTGCAATTTTCATGATTCTTAAGATTCAACAAAAATAACTACCAAAATAGTCTTCTTTTAGCCTAGATTTCTTAGTGACGAAATTGATTTCACATTCTTTCTAATGATTATGCTTTATGTGCAAATGTTTTTTTTCCAATTTTTAGGGATATTGACATATAGTCGTTTCTCTAGGGAAACAATATTGTCAATAATCGCTGTGTGCGATTCGAAAGATAGTTCAAATCTTTTCACAGATTGAACTTGTCTTGCATCTCTCAATTTTGTATTTTGTGATGCTTCTTTTCACAATGTTTATTTCCTCTTCAACATAGGCTATACAAATTGTCTATGGAAATAAAGTAAAACATCACTATTTCATAATAAGGAGTAATAATTTATAATATAACTAAGTGTAATAATATCAAAAATAAATTCTAGCCATGCATGACAAATCACGGAATAAATGTTGTACTCTCATAGAGCTTATAAAACCATTATTTAAAGTTGTTCATAATGCAACCAAGCCAAATCAAAATAAGCACATTATGCCCTCAAACAGAATAAATAAGTGTTTAGCACCACAAACATTTGCTCCTGCCTGACATTCTCTTCACGTGTTATGCCTGTTGCAGCGGCAAAGATGTGGAGTGGAGTAGTAGTGGAGGGAGTTGCCGTGGCGATGACGATGACGTGCTTGGCCTTCCTCTTGGTCTAGAATATGTCGATGATGTGCTCGGGCTCCTCACAGATACGGCTCCAGCAGCCCCATGTGCCACACCTGTAGAATGTGTGGTCTTGCTAGTTGTATGGCTTGTAGTCGTGGGATGTCTTGGCTTCATGCATGCACTTGCCTTCCTGTGCTCCCTACGCATCTGGATCATTTTCTGTTGTAGCCGACGGCGCTCCGTGGATGCGCATTTGAGGTGAGAAAAACATTATATATGCCGGTTTTTACTATTCCGGCACTATAACCTATAGCGCCGTATCCTTTATTTGTTTTTTAGTAGTGTTTCTCTCTTATTCTCTCTCTATTTTTAAGCTATGCTATGTGGTAGATTGAGAGTGTTTTAAAAACATCGCACGTCAGCTTAACTGGGTATTTTATATTGATAATATTTTTTGAACAAAGAATCCTATATATCTATACAATTGATCCCCACTAAGTATCAATGATGCTATTTTCCAGCCCTATGGTGAAGCCACGTCACTTCAATTAATTTTAGCCATCAGATTAGATTTGTCTGTCCGAGATTTCTTCTTTCTCCACCATGCACAACCTATATGGCCTTTTCTGTATCCCAATGAACATTGCTGCGAGTAGGACAGCCCAGCAATTTCCCACCAGGCCATTTATTCCTCAGTTTCTCTCCCCTACCAACCGAGGAAGCCGAGGAGCTTCGCGTTAGGCCAGTCACAATGGGTGTTTCATTTGAGTGTCATGCGCATTTAATACAGTGACAAGTCAGCAAAAGAGCAATATTTGCATGAAATGGGTAGGAGAGAGAGTAAACTCGTTTCACCATGGTGACACGAGATAGCGCCGTTTCCCAGGTCACTGAAACGGGGTGAAACAGCATTGAGAGTTCATCGTTTCACCTCCGGGATCCCGTGCGAGCGCTGCTCTTCGCCATCTTCGCGCGCATCGCCGGATTCTTCCCGCGCGAGTCCCCCATCTTCCCGCGCAGCACCTCCATGTTCCCGCCCCCAAAGCACTGGCTCGAAGCTTTTTTCCCCAATCTCACCTGCAACCCTAGCGCCAGACTCAGTCCCCATCGCCCCGTCCGTCCCATACCCTAGCGCAAGAACCACGAGCGGAGATTGCGGAGCTGGATCCACAAGTAGGTGGTGAATCCTGTCCATCTGCCGCCGTCCGCCGTCCAGCAGCCATGGATCCACAAGGAGGTGGTGGATCCCGTCTGAGCGCCGCCGGCAGAGGAGGGAATAAGCGTGGGGGCAAGCAGCTGGGCCTGAAGAGGTCGTCGGCGCCTGCTCCATCACCGGCAACAGCTCAGCCACCGCTGCCTGCAAGTTCCCCTCCTGAAGCTCCATCGCCGGCAACAGTTCAGCCGCCTACTCCATCGTCAAGTCCTGCTGTTGCTGCCCCCAGTTCATCCCCTGCTGTACCGATGTCAACCATGCCCCCATGGCCACCGCAAGGAGCAGGATGGGGCTCTGTACCCCCCAATTTTGCTTTTCTGCAAGGAAACCAACAAGGCCCAAGTTCATGGTATTTTCTCCTTGTCACAGATTATTCATTGTACACTATGATACATGATATGACTCTCTTCTTCATGCATTAGTAATTAGTTCCTGTTTATGCTCAATGAAATTTGTTAGAATCAGTATGTCAGTACATTGGTAATTTGATATATGCCTGAGTAATGAATAGAAAAAATGTAGTATTCAGTATGGATTGCAGTAATACTTTGTTAGTGAAAATTCAGTATTCAGTATGCAGTATGGATTGCGGCTTGTATAACAGAAATTGAAAGCAAAAGATTCAGTTTGCAATCTGGACAGTGTACTGTACAACATGTAATTCACATACGTAAAGCTTGTTAAATATCTCCTTGTCAGTACATTGGTAACAAATGCTTTGAGTGTAAATGCCAAGGGTATCATCCTAACATTGGTATATATTTTTAGCCTTCTGTATGGAATGCAGACATGGTCTTCTTTGCAACCACAGCAACAGCTTGCCCTACACTCTGTGCTGTCGTCATAGCTAACCAAATAACCTGTTAGTACTGATATATATGGTCTTCTTTGCAACCACAGCAACAGCTTGCCCTACATGGTCTTCTGTATGCTTGACTAAACTTGTTACTTGACATATATGCTTGACTGAACTTGTTGCTTGACTGAATTATTCCTTACACATACTGTAGTACTTGCTTGACTGAACTATGTCAGGATCTTATTAAAAAAAATCTATGTCAGCACTGCTACTATGTCAGGATCATCAGTATGATGCTTAAGTAACCTGTTAGTATGTCAGTACTTACTATGTCAGGATCATCTTCTGGAACTTACTATGTTTGATTTTCTTATGCTGCCATCGGTTTCAATTGGATTTGCTTCTTATGTTTTCAGGTTGTATCCTACAGAAGGCTTCGTAAATTTTCTCCAACAGAACTGTCTGCCGCAGCCACAAGAAGGTGAAAATTTTCACCTTGTTGGTCAGACTACCAACACAATGTCTACTCCACCACCAACACCCCAAGCTGCAGCTAACAATACAGTCCAAATTGATATTCATGAAGATGCAATCAATGATGCAAGTGCTAAAAAGAGAAGTTTGAGATATTGGACTCATGATGAGGAAGAGAGATTGGCTAGTGCTTGGTTGAATGCTTCTAAAGATCCCATTCATGGGAATGAAAAGAAAGGTGATACGTTTTGGAAAGAGGTTACTGATGAGTTCAACAGAAAAGGGAATGGGAAGCGTACAAGGGAAATAAATCAATTGAAGGTTCATTGGTCACGCCTCAAATCATCGATTGGAGAATTCAATGATTACTGGACTAAGGTAACTCAAATGAATACAAGCGGATATGACGATGACATGCTGGAGAAGGAGGCACAACAGATGTATGCAAATACATTTGGAAAGCCTTTTGCACTTGTGCATTGGTGGAAGATACTGAGAAAAGAGCCCAAGTGGTGTGCAATGATTGAGAAGGACAAAAACAAGGCTGAAGTGGTTGATATTCCAGATGAACAAAAGCGTCCCATTGGTAGAGAAGCAGCACAAGCCGAGCGCAATGGAAAACGCAAGAAGGACAGTATGTCAGAAGGAATTGTCATCCTAGGGGACAATATTGAAAAAATTATCAAAGTGACGCAAGATCGGAAGCTGGAGCGTGAGAAGGTCACTGAAGCACAGATTCACATTTCAAACGTAAATTTGAAGGCAGCAGAACAGCAAAAAGAAGCAAAGATGTTTGAGGTATACAATTCCCTGCTCACTCAAGATACAAGTAACATGTCTGAAGAACAGAAGGCTCGCCGAGACAAGGCATTACAAAAGCTGGAGGAAAAGTTATTTGCTGACTAAGGTTAGATATCTAATCTAATCTGAGCTGCACTATTATTTATAATAATTAAAGAATGCTGCAATATTTAGTTATATTGTCTGTATATCTGTGCTGCACTATGCAGTCAGCTGCATATCACGAATTTGTCAAATCTGAGCTGCATATCTGTGAATGGTGCAATATTTAGTTATATTAATTACCCAGTGTGAATGATGTATTGCTGTCAGTTTCACATATAGTATGAATGCTGCACTATGCAGTCAGTTTCACATGCAGTGTGAATGCTGCACTAGGCAGTCAGTTTCACATGCAGTGGGCGCCTATTTATGCAGAGTTTAGCCATCTCTCTACTCCTCTCAGAAACTCATTCCCTCTTTTCTCATACGAAGACCTCCTCCCTTTTATCTTTACTGTTTCTCTCTTCTTCAAAGATGTCTGAGCAAAATACTGATGGAAGTCAAGTTCCAGTGAACTTGTTGGATGAGTTCCTGGCTGAGGATGAGATCATAGATGATCTTCTCACTGAAGCCACGGTGGTAGTACAGTCCACTATAGAAGGTCTTCAAAACGAGGCTTCTGACCATCGACATCATCCGAGGAAGCACATCAAGAGGCCACGAGAGGAAGCACATCAGCAACTAGTGAATGATTACTTTTCAGAAAATCCTCTTTACCCTTCCAAAATTTTTCGTCGAAGATTTCGTATGTCTAGGCCACTTTTTCTTCGCATCGTTGAGGCATTAGGCCAGTGGTCAGTGTATTTCACACAAAGGGTGGATGCTGTTAATCGGAAAGGACTCAGTCCACTGCAAAAGTGTACTGCAGCTATTCGCCAGTTGGCTACTGGTAGTGGCGCAGATGAACTAGATGAATATCTGAAGATAGGAGAGACTACAGCAATGGAGGCAATGAAGAATTTTGTCAAAGGTCTTCAAGATGTGTTTGGTGAGAGGTATCTTAGGCGCCCCACCATGGAAGATACCGAACGGCTTCTCCAACTTGGTGAGAAACGTGGTTTTCCTGGAATGTTTGGCAGCATTGACTGCATGCACTGGCATTGGGAAAGATGCCCAGTAGCATGGAAGGGTCAGTTCACTCGTGGAGATCAGAAAGTGCCAACCCTGATTCTTGAGGCTGTGGCATCGCATGATCTTTGGATTTGGCATGCATTTTTTGGAGCAGCGGGTTCCAACAATGATATCAATGTATTGAACCAATCTACTGTATTTATCAAGGAGCTCAAAGGACAAGCTCCTAGAGTCCAGTACATGGTAAATGGGAATCAATACAATACTGGGTATTTTCTTGCTGATGGAATCTACCCTGAATGGGCAGTGTTTGTTAAGTCAATACGACTCCCAAACACTGAAAAGGAGAAATTGTATGCAGATATGCAAGAAGGGGCAAGAAAAGATATCGAGAGAGCCTTTGGTGTATTGCAGCGAAGATTTTGCATCTTAAAACGACCAGCTCGTCTATATGATCGAGGTGTACTGCGAGATGTTGTTCTAGCTTGCATCATACTTCACAATATGATAGTTGAAGATGAGAAGGAAACCAGAATTATTGAAGAAGATTTAGATCTAAATGTGCCTCCTAGTTCATCAACCGTTCAGGAACCTGAGTTCTCTCCTGAACAGAACACACCATTTGATAGAGTTTTAGAAAAAGATATTTCTATCCGAGATCGAGCGGCTCATAACCGACTTAAGAAAGATTTGGTGGAACACATTTGGAATAAGTTTGGTGGTGCTGCACATAGAACTGGAAATTGAGAATCAGTAAATGTAATTATTTTATTTTTCTTGTAATTTATATATCTATGGTCCACTTGTAAATTTCTGAATGCTCATCGCCATATTTTTTAATCTCTGCAGGTTCCAATCTATTTACAGGTTCCCTAAAAAAAAATCTATTTGCAGGTTCCAGTCTGTTGTCTTCACAATGTAAGTTCTGAGAATCAAATCACTATGTTTTTCTCTTTTTTGGTAGCTACAGGGTGTTAGAACATGTGTTATTTTCTTTACTATGCAATTGTGATCCTCCAATATTTATCTACTGCATGTGTAAACCTGTTTGTCATGTCTGAACTACTTTCATTTGTACAGGGTGAAAGAATCAATGAAATCTATGGGTGCATCGTCAATTTGCCTCCAGTTACCTGCTTGTCATCGTCATTTGTAGCTTAGTTCTGTCATATTTCACCTCGAGTTAACATCTATTCAGTTATCTAAACTTTGCTATGTAGTGAACTTGGTTGAATGGTCATTTAAATTTATCAAGTGAACAATCGTACCTATCTGTGCTGAATGCATGTATTTTGTTTTGTGTTCAAGTGGCTACACACGTTTGTGTTACATACGATCCCACTATGTGGCTGGAATTAAATGCCTTGAATTTGCATTGGAAACGCTAGAGTGAAACACAGCATTGAGAAGGTCTGTTTCATTGTACGTTTCAACTTGTTTCATCTTCGTTTCAGCTGATGTGGCGTCTGGGAAACAGTGTAATGAAACACTGCATTGTGAATGGCCTTACTAGGCCGCCGCTGCTAGCATCTTTCCCGTCGTTTCCTCTACAATGGAATCCGAGACGACAGCCTCACCTGAAACTGTTACACACGCCTTCACTTCAACAAACTGATTGGGGGCATTTATTTACCGAAGCTGCAGCGGCGCAGTAATGGCCTTCAGCCTTCTTCTCAATCTCCCTCCTCCCTGTCCTCCTCAGCTTCTCCACATGAGAAGTACTAATCATTAAGTTATCCTCTTCTTTATAAACTCCCTGAAGGCGGCTCCATTGCATATGCCGAAAATCTCTGTCTGTCTATCTCTGAACTAATGCAAACTGGATTGCAAATTTTCATTTCACTGACAAATTTTCACGTTGGAGGAATTTCCATTCCGGTGGGCTTTTCTTGCTGGTGCTGCAGGCGCCTGGATGGTTAAATTTTCAATGATATTTTTGGTATATGTAGAAGAAAATGCATAATCCACGTTGTTTTTCTGAAGAATTGCACCGCTCCTGTCGTCCTCAAGCATTCTGTGTTTGTACCTTGGTATGTGCTTCCTACCGAGGATGGATCATATATGCTTAAAATTCATCCTCCTTGTCCAGGTTTTAATGAGTTCTCACACCTATTTGGCTATTTTATTAGATTGATTCAGTTGTCCGTGCCAGATTATATGCAGATTTTACTGTGCGTCTAAGTTGTTTTTCACATATTGTAGGCTTAAAGGAGATGTAGACGTCTTCGTCACTAAAGTTAATGCTTACAAATATATTCTCTTAAATCCCTAATCTGTTTTTACTCAGAAGGACTAGCTAGCTACTCAGTATTTTTTTTATTTAGGGTTACCATTAGCTGCATATGTAACTCTGATTTTGTTGAGATTTACTTTACCGTTCAATATTAAAACTGGAATACTGTGGAGGGTTCCAAAGCAGCCCTAGCTGCAACTACACCGATGGATATAAAAGGTTTCTTTGCAAAACCCCAGGACCTGCTTTCTTAATTTGTATCACGAGCAAAACCGAAACATCAATTTTCACATGCTCTGCCAGTATAATGAGCGATGTAATGGATCGAGTGATTATTCCTATAATAACAGTACACAGGGTTCAATATTTCAGAATGGAACTTCTGGAATTTCACCCCTGCAATAGGATATTACGGCCAAAAATTTGAGTATTTTTAGTTAACGAAAATTCATTCAACTTTCAACTTTTTCAGCCAGAAATTTCCACAATTTCGCTTCTATCAGTTCCCACTGAAATATTTAGATTTTCAAGTTGTAGATTTTTTATTTTTTTTGCAATTTCAAACTTGCAGTACACTTGGTTAGTTTTGCAAGCTTAATTTGACTATAAAATAATTTCGATTTTAAATATGTTGAAAGATCTTAACAAAATTTTAAATTTGTTGAAAGTTCCTGTTTTCGTTTAAGAAGAAGAGAGGTGGCCTAGTTTTTAGGGAAAACCGGGCCCGAAAACCTCACAAGTGCGTGGTTAATTAAGGGAAACCGGCCAAAGACCCACATGAGGAACTACTGAAGTTCGAAACAAAAGTCATCGTTGCCAAGCTCAGAGGAGCAGCTCCGACTTCTTAAGAACAAACTACGAACTAGCTAGGCGACCACAATGACAACGTAGGGCAGGGTCTTCCAAACGAAACCTCCAAGGAAAAGCGTCAGAGAACACAAACAACGTCCGTCCAAGAATCGGAATAAAGTTTTCACCCGAAGAAAAGGAGAGCAAGCAACAACGCCTTCAGGAAGGGAACGGCGCCCACAGGCGTCGACGTTATCAGCCGTAGTCCAAGACCAAGCAGGGCTTTCACCCGTGCTCTTGCTCCCTGACAACCACGAAACCAAGGCCGCCACAATGCTTCACAACCCTTAGACGCTTCCAAGGACGAGAGAAGGGGGTTATTGTTGCCGAGCTTGCCACTGCAAGAAGCTCCGACTCCACCCCCAACTCAACCACACGGTTGCGCCACAAGAGCTTCGAGCACCACACACCTCGCTGCTGCAAGGACTTTGAAGGCGCTGACAGAGTGGACGGTCTTCCGATCTTCACCAAGCAGAACCTTCCAACCAAACCCGTGTCTCTCTCCTTAACATGGGGCACCCCACGACTGAAGTAGGCCAGTCTAAGAGGTGTAGGGTCTCCAATGGACGGGAGGAGGGAACAACAACCAGTTGGGAGGAACCCTCGCCGTCGACCAGGACACTGACCACACTGCTGATCATCGTGTCCCACGGCTTTCCAACAAGCAAAACTGCAGCAAACGATCGGCCTCTCCAAGTGGCGACTCCACCTAACGGCACCTGCTGCGCCTCTCCGGCCATCTTCTTTTTCAGCCTCTCCACCGGCCACCTCTACTAGCACCTTCTGCCGGCCTCCCCCAACTCCACTGGCCTCCCCCAACTCCTTATGGCCAGCCTCCTCCCTCCGAGCATGGAGGCGACCAGATTCGGCATAGGCCGGATTGACCGCCTCCTCCACCTGCCGGCTACCAGCTTCTCCCAACAGCCAGCCAACTCCACCACTGCGCCTCCTCCAACTCCACTCCCGTCGGCCTTCCCCTTCTGGATCCAAGGTGAAGGCAGCCAGATCCGAAACCGGTTGACCGCCCCTCCATATCCGGCCACACCCACACCGCCACATGCCGATTCCAACTCGCCGCTGCCTCTTCTCACCGCCTCCACCCCGCTGCTATCGCTGGAGCAGCTCGCCGCCGGGACGCCGCAGCTGCCGCTAGGACGTCGTCCCTCATCCCCTGCGCAGGAGAGGACTCGTCGCTTCACGGCTGCCTACCCCGCCGCCGCCGTCCTTGCTCGCCGAGCCATGGCTCGGCCCCGCTTGCTCTGGCGGGGGCGAGGTGGAGGATGGAGGGGGAAAGCGGCGGTGGCTAGGGTTTTTTCCGCCCGCCCAGTCGCCCGCGATGGGAGCGACGCAAGCAGGAAAGACAAGTTTTTTACAACGCATGGGGAAAGCAATCAATCTTTATAACAGTCCGCAGTAACACATAGGGAATTATCTAGTTTTATTTATAGCTAGGTTTAGCAGCGAGGCCTCTAAATTATAGATCCGGTCTGGTAGGGAGGGGGTCAATTGATCAATATGGCTGATGCTCCGATTCTCTAGTGCCAGTTTCATATGAATTCGTGTGATACTCAAGATGAAGTGAAGTGACTGCTGAAATAGAAAGAACTCGATCCGTCCCTAGAAATCACAGGACCATAGAGATAAGCACAGGGAACAGTACGTCGAGTGCAGAACTGTCGCTGCTTTTACTCGTAGATGGCTTCTTTTGGGCTCTATCGTATCGGCGTATCGCCATGACGGTGCACACATGTAAAAATAAATAAATAAATAAATTAAAATCAACTACCAAATCTAACTATATAAACGCCATTAATTCGGCCATTATAAGAGCAAGTTTAATAGTACAGCCAACTACTAGCTCCAAATCATCTATAGCCAATATTATAATCAATTCATACAATAGTTGCTTACTATACTATTAATATCTGATCCTACCTGTCATACACACAGTACGTCTTGAAGTCCGTGCTGCAGCTGGCTACAGATTTGTAGCCCGCTGCTTATCTCTCTCTTTCTTTATCTCTTTAAAATATGTTTGTAGCTGGCTTATAGCCTGCTATTGTACCTACTCTAAGCAATATATTTTCTATCTCCACGCTGAACACGAGCCACGGTAGAGTCACTGCTCACAGCTTCACTGTATTTAAACCCCAGATGCTCACACCCATGCTAATATAACAAACAGACCACAGACCAGAGTGAGGCTAGTACATCTCATTTCAATGGCAGGTCAGGCTCCCAACATGTTGGCACCACCGACCGACGACGAGCTGCTGCACGCGCAGGCCGACCTGTGGCGCCACAGCCTCTACTTCGTCACGTCCATGGCGTTCCAGTGCGCCGTCAAGCTCGGCATCCCCACCGCCATCCACCGCGCTGGTGGCACCGCCTCGCTGCCCGACCTTGTCGCCGCCCTGTCCCTCCCGCCCGCCAAGCTCCCATTCCTCCGCCGCCTCATGCGGCTGCTGGTCCACTCGGGCGTCTTCGCCGCCGCCGACGACACCACCGGGTCGGCCGGGACGTACCGCCTCACCCCGCTGTCGTGGCTCCTGGTGGAAGGCGAAGGCGGGGCGCCCGTCGTCGACGGCCACCCGTGCCAGGTGCCCGTGGTGCTCGCCGGGACGTCCAGGCACTTCGTCGAGGCGGCGATGGGGCTCGCGGAGTGGTTCAGGAAGGACGTGCCGGCGGCCGCGCCGCCGTCGCCGTTCGAGGAGGTGCACGGCGCGGTGCTGTTCGACGAGAGCATGGCGAGCCTCCACCCGGAGGTCGACACGGTCTTCAACCAAGCTCTCGCGGCGTACGACCACTCGGGCTTCGCCACGGTTCTGAGGGAGTGTTCCGAGGTGTTCCAGGGGGTGCAGTCGCTGACCGACTGCCGCGGCGGCGATGGCGCAGCGGCGAAGGCCATCGTCGAGGCGTTCCCACATATCAAGTGCACCGTGCTGGACTTTCCCCGGGTGATTGGCAATAAACGCGGTGATGGTGTGGTGAACTATGTAGCGGGTGACATGTTCCGCGCCATCCCACCTGCTCAAGCTGTCATGCTCAAGGTAATTTGTAAAATTAATGCAACCGTTATCTTTCACCCACAAAGAAACTTGCACATATTGTGAGCCAGCTAGTGCTCCCTCCATTCCATAATATAATGCACAACTATTTTTTAAAAATGTTTTGTAATATTAGACATGCATCCATACAATTAACTAATAACTTATATCCACTAAATTATTATTTTTAAATCATCCACCCTCAAGATCTATAATTTTATTGGGTGCATGCATTATATTTATTAGGGTAAAATAAACTAGGATGTGATAATAAATTATTTCTTGATGTTTAGGTTAAGTGTGTTTATGCCTTATATTTTGGAATGGAGTGAGTACTATGACCTATTACTTCCTCAATTTTCAAATTAATTATAGGCCCATGCGTTATAACGGTTTTTCTATTTAGTTTAGTGATAGGATTCGCACTGGGTGAGTTTTTTTTATATACTATGGTTGGTTCTTTTATAGAAATACGATTTTTCACAGTTACATGAGGGAAGAGGTTTTTATGAGGAAGTGGAGGGGAGGACGATTCCCTCTTTTTAAGTATAGATATATGACTATACTGATTTCTAGCATGATGTTTGACCACTTTTTTTATTTAAAAATTTAGTATAAATATAAAATATAAGTCATGCTTATAAAGTACCTTTAATGAGAAAAATCAAGAAAATTTATAAATGATACAATTTTAAAATGAGATAAACAGTCAAACATTATTTTCTAAAGTCAACAATGTTATACATATAATAACAGAGGTAGTATATTCACGATAGACTTGAGAAGTAAACAAGTAATAGTTGAAAAATAAAAGGTTCATCTTTTGTTGCTATGTATTTCAATTTTATAGTTCCTGCAGAAGTTGTCAACAAAAGTTTGCGACTTCACCATAAAGAAGAACGGTTAACGACTAGAACTAAAAAAAAGAACTGTGTAATGCAAATTATAAGTTTGTTTAACTTTTTTGTGGCTTCATCTATGGTAGCTTGTGCTTCACCACTGGAGTGACGAGGATTGTGTGAAAATACTAACTCAATGTAAGAAAGCTATTCCAGCCCGCAAAGATGGAGGGAAGGTGATCATCATTGACATAGTGATTGGAGCTCCTTCTGGACCACTACTGGAAGCCCAACTCCTTATGGATGTGGGTATGATGGTGGCGACCAAAGGCCGACAGCGAGACGAAAATGACTGGCGTGATCTCTTCAAGAAAGCAGGCTTCAATAACTATAAGATTGTGAAAAAATTGAGAGCTCGAGCTGTCTTTGAGGTCTATCCGTAGGGTGCTCCTAAATACCATGGAGGATGTGATCTAAGTAAATAAATGAAGGGAGTGCATACTTTATGAAATAAAGTTTTATATACGTGAGCCTATGTCAAGCTTGGATTGTTAATATGTGTAAAGCATTCTGTGTTGAATGTTTCATGTCAGTTATGTCCAGTTGCTTTGTTTCGTGTGAGTTAATATGTCCAGTTGCTTACGTTAATGTGTAAAACTTTTGTTCATATATCTGTGGATGGATGGAATACTTTCAGCATGCAAACATGACAATTTGACATCACCTTCAACCAACTTCGTCCACCGACCATCAGTATTTGGGACACAAATTTGTTCGATAACACTGTCTTCAATAAAATTATACCATGTTGGAACATATCATATATCATTGCTTGCTTGCTTACTAACACGATGTAATTCAAATGGTAAAAAAACAAAGCTCCGATATAGTTTCAATTAGTACATTTTTGGTGACATTTTACCTTATGTCCGTGGTTGACGGCTGACCAGAATTATCCTACTTCCAATATTATAAGCAGAGGCGGAGCTAGAGCGAAATGAAGGGTGGTGCCACTTGTTTAATTTACTCTATTTTAGATCAAGTTTAAGCTGATATGAGTGCCTAAGTTTGTATTGAGGGGGTACATATATACATGCTAAAAACTTTTCTTGACCGAGTTCATAGGCACCCCCTAATATACGCTAGCTCCGCCCCTAATTATAAGCTGAGGTTTCTGTTTGTTGAATTTACCATACAAGATTTTGCATTTATTTCCTCTAATCTATTCCTGTTTCAAAATTTTACTTATTGTAATCAGTTCATCAAAACGACTTGAAAATTTTTCTAGTCCGGACAAATTTTAAGCTTTAAATTAAATACATTGATTTAGGGCATGTTTGGTTGACACGCCGAACCCCATGCCTGAGAAAAATTGAAGCCTGAAGGTGGCCTGAGAATTCATGGGTTCTTCTTGATCAGGCCATCTTACGCTTATGTGTTTGGTTGGAAGCCTGAGCCTCATAAGTCAAAAAATATGGTTTATGAACGAGAAAGCATATAATACTCAATAAAGAATTGCGTTTCCTTAACCCATCTTATATGAATTATACGAAGAACAGAGAGGGGCACCAAGTGAGCTCGCCGGCAGGGAAGTTCGGCCTCAGAAGTACCAACAACCATCAAAATGGAATAAACAGAGCAATTCGACTCTAATGGTGGTTGTTTGCACTTCGTGGAGCAGCCGATGATGGGCATGCTTGTAGTATCGAACACCGCAGGTCTTGTGGTAGCAATAAACGTGTAAAGTTTTGATGAAATTAGATTGTGGGTTTTGATTAGGGATGTTTTGGCTGCAAGGAATTGGTGCTCGGTGGCCGGACTTGAGAGGAAGAAGGTGGTGCTCGGTAGCTGAAACCCACAATTAATGTGGGGAAAATGCTTAGGAGATAGGGAGCAGTGCACACATAGAAGGAATTTTTGTTTGTTTTCCTGTCGGCGACGAATTGAAAGGGTTTTGCGAGCAACTTGAAGCTCATTCTAGTGATTTTTTATCTGAGTGAAACTAACGATGCTTGATGTTGGAATCTCCTGAAAATGAAGATGAAAATAGGGTTGGTAATAATATGTGACTAATTAAGTTTTAATTATTACAAACTTAAAAAATGGATTAATCTGATATTTTAAAGCAACTTTCATATATAAATTTTTCGCACGAAACGCACCGTTTAGCAGTTTGAAAAACGTGTCACGAGTATCCAAAATTTATGCTTGCAGAAGAAACGAACAGGGCCGTCACGCCTGACGACCTGAGTCAGGTGACGTTTTTCACTCGCCTGAGTCGTGGAGGAACCCATGATAGCAACTAAACAACCCCCAGGCCTTAGCCTTTAGTGACTACAGAAGAATTTGCTTTCATTTATACTTTAGTCGGATATACAGTACCAAATATAGATAGAATATTTTTATGAGGACTCGGGTTAGATTCTAAACTTGTATGTCAAGAAAATACCAGGGATCCTAGTCGGTTACGATTGTATTTTATCTGTAATCCCATATTCCGTTAGGATATGGACTGTACTTTGTAATACGGATCCCTTTCCCTATATAAGGAGGGGTCAGGGTTCCTCTCGGGACGATTCTTTTTTCTCCCAATCATACAATCAATAACACACTCGGTGGAATCATCCCCGGACAGGAGTAGGGTATTACTTCTTAAATAAGAAGGCCTGAACCTGTATAAAATTCCTTGTCTCCAAACCCATCCACTTTCCTAGCTTGATAGCCACCCCCTTTTATTATTGCCGAAATCTTGTTTCGACAGTTGGTGCGCCAGGTAGGGGTAGCGTCAAGTTCTCGCCGACTAAGTGCGATGGGTTTCGTTTCTGGCATCGACAACTTCGCCTTCCCTCCCGGGCAGGCGTTCCGGTTCGGCAGCCTCAACTTCATCACCAACGACTTCGGCAAGATCTCTCTCCTTGACTCGGATTCAAACCAGTCGGGGAGAGACCAGGTCCCCGTGCCATTCGGTATTCCGAACTCGGCCGAGGCCTACTCCAAGATCATCTCTCCCGAGTCGGCTTCAAACCACTCGGACGAGATCCAATCTACTCTTCCGCGACCAGATCAAGACGACGGGTTCTATCCCTCAATCCTGATGAAGCTTCCTGATGACTTGGCCGCCGTCTTCACCGCCAAGACATCTCCTACTCGAAGATCTAGGCGAGCTCCGGCTTCGGCCCTGATCCAATCTAGATCTAGAGAGGTTGGCGTTATACTCCAACCTCTTGGGACAGTCTCGACGGAAGAGTTGGATGGTTACCTTAGCTCCCCCGGCGTCAATTCTCGACCAACCGAGATCCTCGACTACGACGACTTCGGCTACCACTACGACCACGGTGACCTCGACAACTTCGACGACAGCTATGAGGATAACTACACGCCCCTCTTCTTCGGCGTATTCATGGCTGACAACGAAACGGAGGAGCAGCGCCAAGCCCGAGAAGCGGAGGAAGAGCGCATACGACAAGAAACCGAACATCGCCGACTGGAGGAAGAGCGACAGCGACAGGAGCGAGAATGACTACAGCGCGAGCAACAAGATCGTGAACGGATTGCAAAGGAGGCTGAAGATCGACAGCAACGCGCCTTGGAATCCAGGCGCCGAGCGAGAGAGCTCATTGGGCAACAAGACGTCGATGGAACAGTGGTCTTTCGCACCCCCCAGCAGAACGCGGTTGCAGCAATCACTCTCCTCGACACCCTCCTCAAGGAAGACGCACTCAACCAAGCTGATCATGTTGTCAACATCTTGAACCAGACGAAGACCATGATCGCTGCCTCGGTTCCAGCCAACTCCGCAAGCACCCGCACTCCGACTGGTAGCCAAGTCCCTCACCTCCGATCTCATGATTATCATCAGCCAAGCCTCAGCATCATCGGCACAGGATCTAGTCGCAGGAGCAGGGGTCACGACGAACGATCTGTTCACTCGCCTCCCGAACGTCACAGGGAGCGCCGAGTCGAACGGCCTCACTCTCCACCTCACCAGCGTCCTGTCGATCTTCGCGACACGATCAACCAGCGCCGTGCAGCACGAGGTCACCGCCATTCAACAAATCGCTACGACGACGACGTGGATGGAGTAGCTGCCTTCACTAATGACCTGCGTCGAGTGGATTGGCCAGCCGGCTTTAAGCCGACTGGAATCGAGAAGTATGACGGCACCACTAATCTGGAGTCTTGGCTCACCGTCTACGGACTCGCAATCCGCGCAGCAGGAGGAGACAGCAAAGCCATGGCAAACTATCTACCTGTGGCCCTAGCGGACTCCGCCCGATCCTGGCTCCACGGACTACCCCGTGGCACGATCGGATCATGGGCGGAACTTCGTGATCACTTCATCGCCAACTTATAAAGCACCTTTGAACGCCCCGGCACACAGTTTGATCTCTACAACGTCGTTCAGAAGTCTAGAGAATCCCTTCGAGATTACATCCGACGCTTCTCCGAACAACGCAACAAGATCTCCGACATCACCGACGACGTCATCATTGCCGCCTTCACTAAAGGCATTCGCCACGAGGACCTAGTCAGCAAGTTCGGACGTAAACCCCCCAGGATGGTTAAGCAGATGTTCGAAAAAGCCAACGAGTATGCCAAAGCCGAAGATGCTATTACCGCGTCCAAACAGTCGGGCACCACTTGGAAGCCAAAGAAGGATACATCGACCGCAGGAGGGAGTGGAAGTAACAACCACAAGGATCGCAAGCGTAAGCCCGAAGAACTTGTGGCGACCACCTCTCCATCTTCCCGACAACGTTCCCGCGTCAACACCTTCGACAAGATAATGAACTCCCAATGTCCGCATCATCCAAACTCCAACCACGTGGCCAAAGATTGCTTCATCTACAAACAGTTCGCGGAGCAATACGTCAAGAACGCACGTAAACCTTCAGACGGAGATCAAGGCACATCAAAGAAGAAAGATGATGAAGACGATGCCCCGACTGGTTTCCAAGATCATCGCAAAGAACTTAATCACATCTTCGACGGACCCCTGGCGTATGAGTCTAAGAGAAAACAGAAGCTAACAGAACGGGAGATCAATGCGGTTCAGCCTAACACGCCCCAATATCTTCGGTGGTCAGAAATAGCAATTAAGTTCGACCGCTCGGATCATCCCGACCGAGTGGTCCACCCGGGGCGGTACCCCCTGGTACTAGACCCAGTGGTTCGCAATGTCAAGCTCCGACGGACTCTCATCGATAGTGGCAGCGCACTCAACATCCTTTTCGCTAAGACCCTGGACGATATGCAGATTCCTCGCACGGAATTAAAGCCGAGTAATGCACCCTTCCACGGTGTTATCCCAGGATTGTTAGCTACACCACTCGGCCAGATCACTCTTCCAGTTACCTTCGGCACTCGGGAGAATTTTCGCACAGAAAATGTTTGTTTCGAAGTCGCTGATTTCGAGACAGCATATCATGCTATACTTGGACGACCGGCTTTAGCTAAATTTATGGCCGTCCCACACTACACCTACATGATGATGAAGATGCCTGGTCCTCGAGGAGTCATATCACTACGGAGCGACATCAAGCAGGCCGTCACATGCGACAAAGAAAGTTGCGAGATGGCCCAAACCCACGAGACTACTCTCGCCCGCGAAGAGATCCGACTGGCTGCGACCACGGCAAGCGAGGGAGAAGTGCCTACAACCAAGCTGACGAAGACCGAAGAAAGTGATGCCAAGACCAAAAAGATTCCCTTAGATCCCTTCG